TTTTTGTATTTTTAGTAGAGACGGGGTTTCACTATGTTGGCCAGGCTGACTTCAAACTCCTGACCTCGTAATCCGCCCGCTTCGGCCTCCCAAAGTGCTGGGATTACAGGTGTGAGCCACCGCGCCCGGCCAGAAACCTTTCTGCCTCTAGTTTCTTAGTACTCCTGTAATCTTGTCCAGGCAGTGACTCAACAAAGCTCACCCAGGAAGGTCTGGGAGATGTACTCGGACACCTGGTTCCCGGAGCGGCTGGTTTCGGACAGGTGGGTCAACTCCCGATTCAGGATCCGCTTGAACTGGGGTGGAGGGAAGGTGAAGACAGTGACCATGGGGCACCGTGGGCCAAGGCAGGTGGGCTCAGCCATCTGCCCCTGCTCACCTTGTTGGAAGCCATCTCCCCCACCGAGTGCCGGGTCTGCAGAGTCTCCAGCTGATCCAAGCACCAGTCCAGCTCGTCTAGCGTCTCCAATGCCAGCTTCTGCCCCGTGTCCTCTGGGAGCCGAGGCAGTCAGGGGCCTGCCCCACCCCCGCTCGGGGGCCCCACGCCCCTCACGCCTTCGTCTCTGCATCTGGACCCTGAAACTGGGGCCCCCCAGGACCCCTGGACTCAAGTTCCAGATCTGTCCCCTAAGTGACTATGTGACCGTGTGACCATGAGCAGGTCTGTGGGCCTCAGCCTCCCCATGTGTAATATGGTTGTGGTGGGGTCCATCCCCGAGGGTGTTATTGTCTGATTTTTGCGGGGACGGGGCCACAATTAGCCCCAGTCCAAGGGCTCATGGACTGGAGAGGTCACTATGGAAAGGAAACTCCCAGCTGTCCTCAGCGGGGGAGGGAAGGAACAGGTGTATTACCTGCAGGCGGAGGGGGCTGATGGCTGGATGAAAGGTTTCCGACGGGTCCCGGCCTGCGGTACAGCAGCCTCAGGCGTGGCTGCCCCGCCCATCTCGCCCCGCCCCCAAATCTTCCAGGTCCCGCCCCTTCCACCCACCTGGAGGCGCCAGAGCCCCAGCCTCAATTTGAAGCCCGCTTTCTGCCAGGCCCCGCCTCTGCCATCTTCCGGTCCCGCCCCACCCCGCCCACCTTGTCTCTGCCGGCTCCGCCCCGCCCCGCCCACCTTGTCTCTGCCGGCTCCGCCCCGCCCCGCCCACCTTGTCTCTGCCGGCTCCGCCCCCGCCCCGCCCCGCCCTCTACCTACTTGGCTGCTCCTTGGCATTGCTGGTGGGCAAGGACAGCCACGTTGCTCCGAACCGTCCGCAGACTGGCCAGGACCTGTTGGGAGGCGGTGGTAGGCGTTGGGAAGAAGAGGTCGGATCCGGAGAGGGTCAGGGCAGGAAGGGGAGAGGATACCCACCTGGGCAAAGGGCGTCACAATCATGTCTTCTCCATGTCTGCGAGGAGACGGGCCATCAGGAAGAGATCTCTCCCATCTTCCAGCTCTTACCCACACACACCACGCCCTCAGCTGAAGAGGCCCTGCTCTCAGGACTTCTCCAGGCGCCTTCTTAGTCCTTGGGCTCCCCTGTGACTCTCCCTGAGACCCACCAAAGCCCCTCCAACCATTCACTCACTTTATTGGCATCTTATAAATGAGGAAACTGAGTCCCAGTGGCAAGTAGGTATTTCCCTTTTCATTATGTCCACTAGGAAGCTCAAATCAAAGTATTTCTTCATTTGCTGCTAATTGGCCTTAATGTGTTTTTTGAGGCAGTCTGGCTCTGTCGCCCAGGCTGGAGTGCAGTGGTGTGATCTCCGGTCACTGCAACCTCCGCCTCCTGGATTCAAGCGATTCTCATGCCTCAGCCTCCTGTGTAGCTGGGAGGTGTGTGCCACCACGCCTGGCTAATTTTTTTTTTTTTTTTTTGAGACAGAGTTTCACTCTTGTTACCCAGGCTGGAGTGCAATGGCACGATCTCGGCTCACCGCAACCTCCGCCTCCCGGGTTCAGGCAATTCTCCTGCCTCAGCCTCCTGAGTAGCGGGGATTACAGGCATGCGCCACCATGCCCAGCTAATGTTTTGTATTTTTAGTAGAGACGGGGTTTCACCATGTTGACCAGGATGGTCTCGATCTCTTGACCTCGTGATCCACCCGCCTCGGCCTCCCAAAGTTAATTTTTGTATTTTTTAGTAGAGATGGGGCTTCACCATGTTGGCCAGGCTGGCCAAACTCCTGACCTCAAGTGGCCCGCCCACCTCAGCCTCCCAAAGTGCTGGGATTACAGGCTTGAGTGACTGTGTCCGGACCACCTTAATGTTTTTGGATTACCACCCCCACCGCAGCAAAAGGCCACATTCTCCACACATTTGATTGAATAAATGAGCTGCCTGGCAAACTCCTACTTAAACTTCAAAACCCTCCTTAAATGGCTACTTGAAGGAGCTCGCTGAATAGAGGAACAAAGGAAGGAGGGAGGGTAGAGGAGGTGTCATCCCACCAACCCCAGGCTCACAGGTCGCTGGCCACAGAGGAGTTCCGCGACATGGCCTTGGGTGAGAGATCATAGTCGCTATCTGAGCGGTACAGGAAGGACTCGCGCCTCTGGCTGTGGTGGACAGGAGCCTGCATGACCCGGCCCAGGCCAGGGCTGGACTGAGGGTCCAGGGCGCTCCTCCCACTCGACAGCCCATTTTCCAGGTCAAAGCTGAAAGGAGAGAAGGCATGGTCAGAGACCAGGGTCATGACAACGGGGTGCTGGGTGGCGGCCTGCCCCTGGCCTGGTGAGTCTTCCCCTGGGGCTGCTTGGCAGTGAGGCCGGTGTGGTTTCCAGCCTGTTCACCCGCCCCCAGCCTCACCGTCAGGAACCCTGCACTCACACTTTGGTCTTCAAGTCTACACTGGACTCTGGGACCTGAGTTCCAGATCTTCCTCAAAGTGGCTGTGTGGCTCTGGACAGGTATTGCCCTTCTCTGGACCTCAACCACTCTGTTTCTTTTATATATTTTCTCTCTCTCTCTCTCTCTCTCTCTCTCTCTCTCTCTCTCTCTCTCAGTTGCTTGCCCCCCCTTTCCTTTTTTTTTTTTTTTTCTTTTGACAGGTTCCCACTCTGTCACCCAGGCTGCAGTGCAGTGGTGTGATCCTAGCTCACTGCAGCCTCGACCTCCTAAACTCAAGCCATCCTCCACTCTCAGCCTCCTGAGTAGCTGATACTACAGGTGCACGCCTTGGCTAATTTTTTAATTTTTTCTGTAGAGACCGAGTCTCACTATTTTGCTCAGGTTGGTCTTGAACTCCTGGCCTCAAGCAATTCTCCCACCTCAGCTTCCCAAAGTGTCGGGATTACAGGCGTGAGCCACTACACCTGGCCTCCCCTGTTTTTTTCTTCCCCGCTTCTTCTTCTTTTCTTATTTATTTATTTTTTGAGATGGAGTCTCTCTCTGTTGCCTGCGCTGGAGTGCAGTGGCGGTGCGATCTCGGCTCACTGCAACCTCCGCCTCCCCGGTTCAAGCAATTCTCCTGCCTCAGCCTCCCGAGTAGCTGGGATTACAGGTGCGCGCCACCACGCCCAGCTAATTTGTGTTTTTTTTAGTAGAGACAGGGGTCTCACCACGTTGGCCAGGCTGCTCATGAACTCCTGACCTCGTATTCCACCCTCCTCGGCCTCCCAAAGTGCTGGGATTACAGGCGTGAGCCACCGCGCCCGGCCTCCCCTGTTTCTAATATGTGCATGATGTAGCCCATCCCTGAGAGCTCTTCAAGGAGGTTACAACATCCGAAGACTGCCGCTGGATGCCCATATTGCAGAGACCAACTGAGATCTGGCTCCTATGGTAGACACGTGGACTGGAAACAGTTTCCTGGGCTCTACTACCTGGAGGAGACCGGGGTCCTGCCTAGCTCCGGCGCGCGTTTTACAGTCTAGAGAGACCCCACTCCCAGCCAACTTGACCACACCCTTGGCCACCTGCCACGCCCCCAGAGCTCCAGGCTCCACCCTCAGCCCATAAGGCTCCGCCCCATGGCCATCGACCACGCCCCCAGCTCGCAGGGTCCTGTCCTCGGCTCCCCGACTCCTCGACTTCATCTTCAGCCCCAACGTTCCGCCTGTTCTCTTCCACCTCCAGGCCTTTGCACAGGCCGTGCCCTCTGCCCGGAGCACCCTCCTCCTTCTCCACACCACCTGTCCGGTTCTACCCTCAAACCCTGCCCTTCCCTCTGGCCACACCCTCTGGCCCCTCCTCTTTGGGCTGAGGGGTCAGAAAAAAGGCTTAGGGCAAGGACTGGGGCACAAGAGGGCAAGATGGTGACCTGGGGGTGGAGTTTTCAAGAAGAGCGGGCGGAAGCGGCACCGACAGGAAGACACCGGGGACGGCCCGAGGCTCTGAGCTCCCGGCCGAGGACCAGTGTCCAGCTGGTCCGGGCCATGAACTTTGGGTCAAAGGTCACCCTATCCCAGTCTACGGGCGGGGTCGGCACCCCCGCGTAGGCTCAGATCTGGGTAGAGGTAGGGGATTCGGCAGCATTCGGTCCGGCTTAGTCAAGTAGGACCGGGTCCGAGTTGGATCTGATCTCATTGAGTTGGACTTGGTCCAGAAGAGTCGCTGAAGAGTTCGGGTGGATTCGGTTATGTCCGACTAAGCTCGGGAGAGTTCGGATAAGTTCGAGTTTGTTCGTCTAAGTCCGGTTAAACTCGGTCTACTTCGAACAAGTCCGGGTGACGCTCGGGCCGAGCGGGGTATATAGGTTACGTACGGCTACACTGGGGTTACTTCGGGTATCTCCGACTGGGACCGGCCGCGCTCGGCATGTTCCGTCAGGCTCCAGCGGATTTGGCGGCACCGGGAAAAGCCCCGGGCCAGCCGAGGGGCGGGGCTTCTTAACCCTTCCCTGCCCAGTCTGGGGCGCGCCGTGGGCGCAGTGGCGCTACTGGAGACGCTCTTAGGGGCGTACTGGAAGCGGCGCTACCCTAAATCTGCCCCTCGAGGGGAATGCGGGTGGAGAGACATGCGGGTGGCGACCCTCAACTCCTCTCTCGCCTCTCCCTCAAGGGTTCCAGGAAAGCGCGCCTACAGACAAATAGGGAAACTGAGGCCAGGAGCGGCCACAAGGTGTGCAAATCCGGATCCCGGGCGCGGAGGGTTAAGGGCTGGGTCCGGTTTTTCTTGGGGCGGGGGAGGCTGTTTTTCTTTCTGCTCTAAACTTAGCCAAGAGCGGCGGGGTCAGGCTGTGGTTCCATGACGCGGGCGGCGCGGGGGTAGGGCGCCCCGGCTGTGGGAACGGCGCCGCTGCCTTTTGGCCAGGCGGGTAAACTGAGGCAGGGAGGTCGGACTTGGATTCGTTCGAGTCCGGCCTGCGCAGGGCCTGCCCTTGTTCATCCTCACTTCTGGGCACCCGCGATGCGCCCTCGTCGCCCCCGCACTCTCTCCAGCGCCTTCAGAAGGGACCGAGCTTCGCTGGTGTTTGATGCCCCACGTTGCTCTCGGAACCCCCACTCCCCTACTCCCCGGCTGAAATGGAATCACCAGGAACCACGATCACGTCGTCTCCTTCCAACCCCAGCTGTAACCTTACAAGGGGACCTCCCCTCTCAGCCAGACTGCGTGGCAAAGTGGGTGCCAATTCGGCGCGGACCGAGCGCAGGGTGCCAGCCACAGTCGGCGCCCACAAGCCCCACTCCGAACCCCAGCCTCGCCGGCACCCCGCCCCACGAGTTAACAGCCGTTTCTGGAGAGGCAGGGATTCGAACCCAGAGGGATGGACCGGGTGCTTCGAGGATGCAGCGCAAGCAGCTGCGGGGAGCGGGCGCGCGCTCAGCCTGGGGCTCCCGAACACCCTGCCTCGAAAACCCCATCAATTCAGGTCTTCCTCTGTGGACACCCAGGGTTCCTTGTGAGGTCCCCAGGACATCTCTTTGCTGGCACGGGGACGGGATGGTGGCGGGAGGGAACGCCAAGGGGAGGGGTGCCCCTTCCCCCTCCTCCCACTGCCTGGACGCACAGCCTGCCTGCCCCAGGCCAGCGAGGGTCAGGAGGAGACGTGAGCCTCAGCCCGTCCCACTCTGGGCCGCACAGCTGGAAGCGGACAGACGGCTGGTCCCCTGGGCCTGTGTTCAGGCGGCGGGTGGAGACAGACAGAGACAGAGAGAGACAGAGTCGCCAACTGCAAGACAGGAGTAGGATAGGGGGAGAAGGATACAGAGAAAGCGAGGGAGACGCAGAGCGTCCATGCCCTGACCCCGGCCCCGGCCTCAGCTGTCCCTGCCCTTGTCCCTGTCCCTGCCCTTCCCACCTCCGCACCGGGCGTCCCGGTGACCCTGCCAGGCCCTCTGTCCCGCCTCACCACAGCGGATGGGCCACCGTGAAGCGCCGCTGCAGGCGGATGCTCTGATTCACCAAAAGCTTCCTGAAGAGCCCCGGGGAACCGCGCGGGGAGCCCCGAGGGGAGCCGGGCCCGGGGGCCGGGGCAGGCGCGGGGGGGCCCTGCATCGCCAAGACCGCGTGGAGGCTGGAGGGAGAGCCGGCTGCGTGGGACCTTTTCTGGACAGCTGCAGGGGCGGAGCCCAGCGGGGAGGGGGCAAAGGGCGCATCGGCCCCGCCTCGCGCTGCGACGGCTCCATGACGACCCTCGGGACAAACAGGGAAACTGAGGCATGGAGTCAAACGCAACTCTCTGCTCCTTTTTTTTTTTTTTTGAGAAAGGATTTCACTGTGTTGCCCAGGCTGGAGTGCGGTGGCACAATCCTAGCTCGTTGCAACCTCAGCCTCCTGGGCTCAAGGGATCCTCCTACCACGGCCTCCCGAGTAGCTGGGATGCACGCTCCCACACCCAGGCTAATGTATTTTCTGGAGAGAAGGGGTTTCCTTATGTTGCCCAGGCTCGTCTCGAACTCCTGGACTCAAGTGATCCTCCTGCCTCAGCCTCCGAAAGTGCTGGGATTACAGGTGTGGGCCTGTATCTGGCCCAACTACACCACTTTAGGAGGCTGCCCCTAAGATCCCAGAGCCTGGGTCTTTCTCAGCCATCCTCTGAACACCCGTGGTTAGTGAAGCTTGCTGGGCCGATAACTGCTAAAAGGTATAAAATGAGGGAGTCAGAAAGGAAGGTGTCGAGAGAAACAGCTGTCCTGCCTTCCATTATGAGGGTGTCATCGAGACATACAGCTTGCCAATGTCTGATCTCACCCAATGTTTCCAATCTTCCTCTACCCATTTTTCAGATGGAGAAACTGAGGCCCAGTGCCACCAAACAGCCCACCAGAAACTATAAACCCTTAATCTTTGCCAAGTGGGGAAACTGAGGCTTCCATGGAAGCGGGCACAGGCATGGGTCTTTGCTGCAGGGCAGTGAGACTCAAACTCAGGTTCCCCTCTCCCGGCACCCCACCACGCGAGTCCCCACGTGACCCCGCACCTGCTCTGACATTCCCCAGGCCCTGTCTCTGGATGTCTTCGCCTCTCCTGCTGTCTCATCCTGGACAAACATCCGCACACCACCTCCGCCAAGCCTTCCGTCCTGCGAAGCCTCAGCCGCCCACCCCTGCCCTCGGAGGGACCTCACTGTCCCAAGATTGCGGCAGCAGGGGGAGGGAGGCTCTTGTGTCTGGGAAGATTCCAAGAGTCTGTACCAGGTGCTCTACCCTTGGAATGTTGGGATCGGGCTGGCCTTGTTCCAGTCTGCAGAAAAGGAAACCAAGGCTTAGCATGT